TGCAATAAAGACAAAACAAAAATAATCAACAATATTAAAGTGAAGCAAGGGACTCAAAATACTATCAAATTTGACAATCACCATATTCAAATCCTCAAATCATACGAAAGCGTTAAATACCTTGGAACACTAATTTCTCCTAGAAATTTTAACAAGGTTAACAGAAAAGCATTTCTACAGACGTCATCACAAATTATCGAAGAACTAGCTAAACACAATTGGAAAGGAGAAATTAAGCAACAAATCAATGATTGGGTTATTATAGGGAAGTTCAAGTACTTTCTACTTTTCTCATTTCTTAACAAAACAATCCTCAGCGTACTCCAAACCAAAATCAACAAACTGGTGAAGTTAGCATATAAGATTTTATCAAAATGCTCCAATACAATTCTAGTTAGCCGCAGCGGCCTCAACATAACAGTACTAGAAGAAAGACGTCGAACCACTTTAATAGGAAATCTCATCTCCAAACTCTCTATTTCCTTCATCAGGAAATATATAATACAAGATATTCACACCATTCAAACAAAAGAGGCTATCTGGTTTTGCCCCATTTGCAACCCAGAGAAATTCAACCAGGAAAATTGGATAATATACGCCACAAAAGTAGCCAAAAATCTCAAAATTCAAATTTGTCCAACAGAATGTTCATTTCATCTCGACAATGCAGAAAACTCAATTGGTTTTCTATTCACTAACATGCAATCACAACTTAAAAAGACAGCAATCAATACAACCAATACTCTTAACATAAAGTTCATCAATCAACTATTAAAATATAATAACACCACCAAACTTTCCTGGCCACAACTTGCTACACATACAGGAATAATTCGCTTGGGTCCAGAGCTTAATTGGTTCAAAACATTTGTAAATACCCAAAACCTTTCTGGAATCCATGATCCAATTCCAAATCCTAAAACAACATTTTGGTTCCTGCACAACATAAATGCAATTGTCAAAACTCACAAAAAATACACTTCGATAGATAGAAAAACACTACTCAGAGGCAAACATTTTACCATAGACCTTGACAATAATCTTACTAGATGTTTGGGCTGCCCGATTGGCACATTCTTTTATGGTTTCTGTTGGATACCATTCACAAGTATATCAGTCTCCACATTATGGGTTTCTTTTAACCCCTTTAACAGATTCAAATATCACTTGCTCAATATAATTGATGAGATTGTCAACTCACCTCCTAACAATGAACATATTCTCCAAGAAGTTAATATTTCTACCAATCATCCTCCCCAATTACTGCTACAAGATCTCAGCCTGCAGCAACACTACTATATTTAATCATATAAGAGTAACCTATTTATAAATGAAATTGAAATAAGACTATTCAACTTCTGCTTACCATCAGGCAATATTCTACTGGCAATCTTTGATATCGTTCAAGGAATTCCAGCTCACACCACCATCGAAATCAGAAGCAACAAAAAAATTCTTCAATCAGTACCCAAATACCCAAGAAGAATGGTCAAAATCAACTTTTCCTCGCTATCCCAGAGAATAAATCGAAGTATACAACAGAAATCCATAAAGATTATATATACCAAATCTAAATCCAGACCAATATTAACCAGAACCATTCAATGGAACAATCTCCCACTACACTTTCCTGAAAATCCTTTAATCAACAATACTTGCCTAGGCAGTAGCATCAGATAGTGCAAGAAAATTTTTAGCATCACCAGAGACTATATGGTATGTGAAAGCTCCTCAGTTGTCCAAACATTTGGACAAACATATATCCCGCACGGCTTAAAAGTCATCAACCAATCCAACAAAAACATCAAAAAATTCCATAACAACAAGTACAGTACCCTAGTAGCCTTTAGAGTTAAACTGCTCTCGGGAACTCTTTCAACTCACCTCATACTTCACCAACTATATCCTAACCAATATCCAAACACTCTATATCCACGATGCAAGCTCCGCATTGAAGACATTCAACATGTTTTCAAATGTCCGGAAGCACTATAAGCAACAGAACAAATCATAAAAACCATTAACCAAACACTCCATCCAGACAATAATCATGAACCAATCTCTCATATATGGCAAGCCATCGAATTGTCATATGGAATCACAGACAAAATCTTCTCCATCTCAACCTCTACCAACTGGATCAAGGCAGTAACAGAATCTTTAACCCTGTTGCATGACCTAATTTGGAAACCACATTGCTCCATAGTCAACACTTCACCTCTTACTGGAATCAAATGGAACCATGCGAAGTCGCATAATTCAATCAACTCTATCAATCCAGAAGCCAAAAAAACCCCACAAACCAAAGACAACTCCGACAATCCACAAGAAAACACTATCATTGACCTACCTTCAACTGTTGCTAATTTATTCATCCAATCTAAATATAACTACTCCAAATGTATTTATAGCTTAACAACTCTATCTGCTAATATTAACTCAATTTTCCTTGATGCTGAGTAGATATTCATAGCTGCTCGGTGCCATCTGGCAAGATATATTGTTTTAAACTTTCTTTTCAATATTAGTTGTATGGTTACTGTAAGCAAGCTAGCATTTAACTCATTGTATCAACACATGAGAGATGTTGTTTCTTTCACGATGTATACCATGCTATATACAAATCAAATAAAGAAATAATGTTTACCTACAAAAAAAAAAATAATAATAATAATTTTATAAATATTAAAACTTGTCTTTTTTTTTGTTATTATTGTAAATAAAAGTTTTAAATAAATATATAGCATTCCAATTTAGATTAGGTCAAACATTGACAATTTAAATTGTGAAACGTAATAAAATATGCAGTTGTATTACATAAAAAAATTACTTTATCTGTGATAAAAATAAGCAATAAATTACCTTACATCTCTTATTAGCTTTTTGTTTCCGAAAACCAATCAAAAATAAACACAATATTCATGGGTGATACAGTCAATATTCGAATGGTATATCTAGCATGCTGTTTAGCGTGGCTGTAAATACAAGAAATCATGGACCAGCTTAATAGTTTAACACTATGGGATGTCAAAGATGTATTCAATAAAGTGTATGTTCATTTATAGATTGGGTAGTAAAAAAATGTGAAAGGTTTATAGATTTTAATTATAATGAATTCATACACTCTTTCAGAAAAAATGTTGTAATGAACTACACCGAAATGGAAGCCAAGGTTCGCGAGGCCACTAATAATGAGCCTTGGGGAGCCAGCAGCACTTTAATGCAGGAGATTGCGCAAGGCACATATAGCTAGTGAGTTGCAATTACATCAAGTAAAGGTAGTGTAATAAATTCAGAGGATTAATTTAGCGCCTTTTAAAGCCAGCATTTCAATGAAATTATGCCAACAATATATAAACGGTTCACAGAAAAGGAAGCTAGACAATGGCGTCAAATTTACAAGGTATGGTAAAGCTAGCTTTAAAATTCATTAATGAGATTCCAATTGATGCCATTGTTCATTATTATTAGGCTCTTCAATTGCTTGAATACCTCGTTAAGCATGGACCCGAAAGAGTAGTAGATGATGCTCGAGCTCATATGGCTACCATTAAGTTGTTGAGAAATTTTACATACATCGATGAAAAGGGAAAGGATCAAGGCATTAATGGTAGGTTAGATTTTGGAAGACGATTAAGATACATAATTATACGAAGTTGATTATTGTTCATTATACCGTTAGTTAGAAACAGAGCAAAAGAACTTGCAGAACTTTTGAGTGATGTGGAAAAAATTAGACAAGAGAGAAAAAAAGCGAGAGCCAACAGAACAAAATATACAGGTGTGAGCTCCGATGCTTTTGGATATGGTGGATCATCAAGATATGGGGGATTCGGTAATGATTCGTATTCTTCTTACAGTAAGTATATATGTGATGATATTAAAAAAACTCGTTATAGCATTTCTAAATTCAACGGTTAATACGATCAAGATGAGGATCGTATACGTACCAGATACGACGAGCCAGAAACGCAATGGCAAAGTGATTATCGAATTGGTAGAACCTCCCCTACGGACGACAGACGATCCAGTGTAGTCGCAACACGGTTCAGCCAAAGTTCAGCAAAAAAATCAGTAGAATTGTCACCAACTAATTCGGAAGTCAAAAACGAAGTTAATTTGTTTGATTTTGGTGAAACGCCGAATTCCATTTCCAACCCTTCAACGTTCACGAATGATTTCGGTACATTGCAGTCGGCAGCTGTTGGTATGTTTGTAATTTTTTTCACTATAACTGACTAAGTCGTATCTTTCTTGTTAATTTATGTTTGATTCTAGATGAGGAATTTCAAGAATTCCAGAGTGCACCATCTCCTGTTCCCTCTTCACAAAGATCATCGATTACACAGCCACCTTCCAGTTTAGCCGGACTTCAGATCAATCCTGTTCCACAAGTGCATCCTATTGTTAATAATAGTGCATCGAGTGCTACCGTGAATAAACCCGGAGTAAATAATAATTTGCTTGACGATTTGCTTGGACCTTCTCCAGTCATTGCGTCTCAAAGTACGAGTTTGCCTGTTGTAACAGGTTCGATAAATTCGACTCTCCCTATTAGCCCCACGAAGACTAACTCCCCAACAACACCTAAACAAGTATGTTGTAAGAACAAATTAATTCGCGGATTAGAAAATTGTTTCTTTGGTTAACTTTGTTATTGCAAATACAGAATTCCTCGAATTCCAAACCAGCTTTTCCTGCTCTAAAATCTGACGATATCTGGGCACAGGCATCTAACTTGGTTAGTTTGGATTCTTTAGGAAAGGATACCAGCACCAAGCAGCCAACGAAGCCATCAATGAATTCTCTTGCACAGGCTGATTCATCATCTTGGGCGGTTAAAGGTACTTGGACGGGAGTGCAACAGATGCAACACAACCCGGGTGGTGCTCAAAAACCTCAAGACCCATTCGATTTATTAATGTAAGGATTTATGGGTAATTAGATTAAAAGAAATAGAATAGCGTTTGTAATAAAATTAATATTTCCATAATATGTAGTATCAATCATTAAAATTTGATAGTATGTTTATTTTATAAAATTTACTTGATTTAGAATGCTGCTTAATATTCTGCTTTATTGTGAAGAAATCATCCTTAGTATATTGTATCTAAAGATAAATTTAATACGTCCTTATATTTTGATGTGACTTAGATTATAGATACTTTAGAAATTATTTTAGAATTAAAACAATAAAATAATTTGTTGTAGTTATAAAGATTTTATAAAATTTTATAAAATTAAAAAATTGTAGATAGAAATTTGTATAATTATTATATAAAATTTTTATTTCTATTACCCCTCAAATAAGTTTCTGGCCTAACATTCCCCCCTTATTTATCGAAAATTCCAATTATCAGACAATATGAAATTTTTAATATTGTAACCTAATTTTAAATTTCACCAAGTTTTTATTTTGCCAATGTGTCTTCTATATTAATCGATAGACCAGTTCACATAAAACTAGAATATAATTTATAGATTATAATTAAGTTGGAATTAACATATTTAAATGTCTTTGGCAAATAAAGAAGTTTTGACAAGTAAATCTCAGCTAAAAGATTAAAATAGTCTATAAATCTATCGATATGACTTCGCTTTTCATGCAAACTTTTATTGTACACTATAATTTTTAGGCCTCATAGGAGCTAATCCTCTTACATCAGCAAACTTCGTCTGACCCTCCAATACCATTTCTGCAATGACCTTTCCTGTACCAGAAGAATTCAAGATTCCCCAAACAGAATGACCTGTCGCAAGATAAACCCCATCAAGCCATGGAACTTTTCCAATCAATGGTTTGTCATCTTCAGATATTGGCATGTAACAACATTGTTCGCGTACTACAGTTGCACTGCCAAGAATATCTGGAGAAAGCGTGTTCATTGTATTTTTTAGGTTTTTAATAGCAGTAGGATTAGGAACAAATTCTTCGGCGCTAGCTGGAAGAGGTGATTCGTCGCATTCTCCAGAAACGTATACTTCACCATCCGGACGCGGGTAAATTTCAGGCTCAGCATATTTATGACCAAGGTTTAGCGTTACGAAACATACATGCGCTGATATATCAACGTTTGGTCGTAATACAATGCTGTGTGCCCTTTGTCCAGAAACATCAGGCAATTGGTAAGCACGACCGCTTTTTTTTACTAGCCATGAAAGAGCTTCTCCACTCCAAGGACCCATAGCTATAATAACCGTATCTACGGGAATTATCTCGTTTGTTGAAAGACGAACCCCTGATACTCTAAATTTATCAAATTCTAGGCCTACAACATTCGCAATCATAACTTTGGCACCTCTGGATTCTGCCTCCTCAATTAACGTTTTAGTGAATTTGTAAGGATGAAGTTGAGCTGTTGTTTGTGTCGTACCAATACTTTTAGATTTTGTCACTACGCCAGGTTTTAACCAAACTGTTGGAGGTGGTTTTACACTTGCTGACTTTGTAGAGGCTGTTATCGATAATGTATCTACCACACGATAATCGTATCTTCTTTTCCCATCTAATGTCTTAGCAAGTTCAGCATGTAATTTGAAACTTTTCCTTGCAAGATCTTGTAGGGGGCCACCATCACACCAGTCATAAGAAAGGAAACCTCTGCGCGATAATTGCATAAATTTTAATTAAATAATAAGGAATAATGTTATAATATATCTTTATATTTTTAACACTTATTTTTATTTACCCAGCTTTACCCGAAGCTGCACATGCGATCGCGGTTTTTTCAAAGACTGTGACTTTCAAGTTTGGATCTTTATTTAGCAATGTTATGTGGTATGCAATTGACGAGCCGATTGCACCTCCTCCAAGAATAGCAATATGATGTATGGGATCCGCCATTTACAAATCAAATATTATTACTAAGCTAAGGGGATATGAATTGGAAAGAGATTTATATTTTGCCTACGCGTCACGAGGATAATCCCAGGATAATTACGTGTGAGAAAAGATTTAAAAGATTTTAAATCACGTGCATGATTACATGATAAATATTTGAATATCCATTTTTAATAAATACAATATGTTCATTTTTGCATACTTATATAAAAGTAGATGTTTACAATTTATTACTATATAGTCACGGGACATTTCCCTTAATCAAGACTCAAAATGTTATTTTTATAATACAATTTATATTGTGTGTAACAACAACGGGAGGGAAATGTCCCTTAACTGTATAGCTTGTCTTAATAAAATCTTGATCATATTTATATTTTTTTTCTTATTTATATTGGTTAATAAATTAAGCTGCCTTTCTTTTATTTTTTTTTGAAAGGATTTTTTCTATAGATAAATATTATTTTTTTATTTAATTTGTATACAACAAGGTATATATCATGAAAAAAACAATATCTTTTATATACATAAAGTAGCAAGTTAAATGCTATAATTAAGCATTCTTTTATTAAAGCTTAAAAATAGTAATATATTATATATTTTTTTAAAAAAAAAAATTTTTTTTTTTATAATTTATTAATTTTTTTTTTTTACAAAATTTCAATAGTTTTGATAATATACAATATATAACTTTAGTTTTTTTGTTTTTTTTTTTAATAATATTTATATTATTGATCTTTTTTATATTTGAAATTTTATAGATATTGATTAAAAACTTATATTATATTTTAAATATTTTGAACAATAACTTACGTATATATTTAAGTATAAAAGATTTTAATATTTTATAAGCTTGTTTTTATTTTAAAAAATATATATTTTTTTATAAATTTATATATATAATATAAGTTATAATTTTTTGAAATTGATAACTGATGAAAAACTCTTTCCCGTCCATCCCAAAATTCCTAATCAGGAAGTAACTAAAACAAAAACTTTCTATCTTCTCAAAACACTCATAACTAAAGACCCATCACTCAAAAGACACCCAAAACCAAAGGTATACATCTCTACAACATTGCAACTTAACACTTGACTTTATTTTATAGAACAACAAGTAAAAAGCAAAACAAAAAGCCCTTTGCTTCCAAGGGGAATACAAGGCAAACCAACTGATTCACAGTTAGGTCTCAGGAAGCTGATACTACTTCCACCCCTACAGCCAGGCCAGTATCAGGTTAAATACCTTTCTTGACACTGCAGGAACCCTTAGGA